TTATCCTTTTTTCTCAACTGAGGTCCCTTTCCTTCATTTTCATCTGTAAATACAGAACAAAAATATTCATTGAGGCAGTCAGCCTGACCTTTATCCTCTTCTACATACCTTCCTTCTTTTGTTTTTAATCTAACTAATCCTTGTTTTACTTTTCTTTTCTCATTTATGTATCTAAAAATGTTTTATCCCCTTTTTTACTGACTGTGCTATTTTCTCTTCTGTGTGTGATTTGGAAGCTCTTATAACTTGCTTAGCCTCTTTCTGCTAATCTTATAGATCATTTTGTCTCCCTCACTCTGGGTTTTTTTATAATTCCTAAATGCTAACTTTTTGTTTTTAACTATTTTGGCCACATCTGCGGAGTACCACAGTGGTTTCTTGAATTTTTTGCTTTTACTGACAAGCCTAATGCAATTCTCTGTTGCCTTCAATAGTGCAACTTTTAAATAATCCCATTTTTCTTGGAATCCATTTAAATTGCTCCAGTCTGATAATGACTCCTCTACCCATTATACTATTACAGCTACTGATACTGTGTGCCAGGCACTTATTAATATTCTGCTACTTTCAGTCTATACCAGCTGTTACATTGTTTGTAGAAATTGTATCTCATTGCCGAACAGAAGGACTTCTACATATTGGGACAGATTTACATCTGCTGCTATTGCACTCTGAACTGTAGAAAGCTTACCTCCATTCCCGACTTTTGTTTATCTTTGCTGCTAAATCCCATATTGGACAGATTCATATCCACATTGTTCCACTGCGTAGATCACTGTGCTTTTTTGTGTGAATTCTTATGTCACTGATTATTATTGCATTTTATGGTCAGGCATTTATGTTACTGCCCTTAATACTGTTGTCAATACTATTTGATTTACCACCCAGTATTGTACCCTTTTTTTCTACTTATTTATTTATCTATTTAAGCTGCGTTTTCCTTTAGTCTTATTTATGTTGTTCCATCTATTTAAACTCTTTGTGCTGTTCGCTTTTCATATTCTCCTATTTCACCTGTTTCAGCTTGAGTTCTTATTCATCTGTATCTATACCAGCATTTTCACAGTCTCTTATACATTCCACCTGTTTTCTCTCCTGTTCTATACTCCAATTTTCACTGTTGCTTTCATTTGTATTTCTATGTAGATTTATTTTAATTTCCTTTTTATTTTTATTTATTATTTATCATTTTTTATTCTTAATCTCTATTTTTACTTTTCAATCTTTATATTGATTTTTATTTATTTCTATATTCATTTTTTGTTTTTGCACTTTGATTCTCATTTTCATTTTCATTTTATTTTTTTTTATTTGTTTTTTCATCTTTTGTTCTGTTCCTCACTTCCCCTATACAGATCACCCACTTTTTCACTCTCCTTCATTTCCTTTATATTCTATTTTTGCCTTGCATACCCATCCATTTTCTTTGTACCTATTATTCCTTGTGCTTTTACACTGCTTCACATTTTTACTTTTTATTAGATCTCCTGGTATGTTTAGGGCTTACCACCTATATTTGTTTACAGTGCATTACAGTTTGCTGTGTATGGTGCTTTGTAGCTACAAACCGCTCAGAGTGCCAATGATGACCCCTATCCACTGCCGAAAGCACCTTCAATGGACCATTGAGCAATGGAAGAAGGTTGCCTGGTCTGTTGAATCATGTTTTCTTTTAGATCAGGTGGTTGGCCGGGTCAGTGTACGTTACTAATCTGGGGAAGAGATTTACTATAGGAAGAAAGCAGGCCATCGAAGGCAGTGTTACACTCGGGGAAATGTGGGTACTGGCAAATAATGTGGATGTTACTTTAACATGTACCACAGTCCTAGAGATTGTTTCAGCCCACATACACCCCTTCATGGCCATGATGTTCCCTGATGGCGGTGGCCTCTTTCTGCAGAATAATGCACCCTGCCACACTTCAAATATAGTTCAGGAATGGTTTGAGGAACATGACAAAGAGTTTAAGAGTGTTACCTTGGCCTCCAAATTCCCCAGTTCTCAATCTAATTGAGCATCTGTGGGAAGTGCTGGAACACCAAATCTGATGCATAGAGGCCTTACCTCGCAACTTGCAGGACTTAAAGGATTTGCTGCTAATGTCTTGGTGCCAGATAGCACAGGACACCTTTAGTGTATCGATCCATAAGAGCTGTTTTGGCAGCACGAGAGGGATCAACACAATATTAGGCAGGTGGTTTTAATATTGTGGCTGATCAGTGTGATGTGTTTTTATTAATTTGATTCTGTGTCCATAAAGATATTTTGCACCTTAAGTCTAAAAAACCAAATGTCTGGGTTTTTTGAATATCATTAAAGTTACAGAAGCTTTAATACTAGAGCTGAAACATTTGCTCTAGGAAATGTGAGTGTACACCCATGTGGTCTAATATATGGTATATGCTTTTCATTTACATATTTGAGGATTGTCTACACTATTATCTTGTTCTTTTTATCTTTACGGTCAATTATTGGAAGCGTGAAGGTTTTCAAATAAAGAATCATATTGACTGTGTTTTTTATAAGTAATTTAAATATCCACTGCTTTATACATAGTAAATACATTGGATTTTTTTTTGTTTGTTTTCATTTATTTTGTTTGCTTTCATTTTAGTGTTGTGCCATTTAAAGCTCTCCACTTTTTAAGGTTATTTTTTTTATCTCTGTGACTGGTGTACAAATTGGGAACAAGGGGAATGCCTTAAAATTTGTAGAAGCAAAAGAGGTTTTAAAATAGAAGTTTTAAAAATACTTTTTCTTTCTTGGATTTGATTTTTTAAAGCACTCTTTAAATTTCTAGAAGTTATTATTTGCCTACTATAATATCTATATCCACTAGATGGCACTCTTTATGAAGCCAGATTTTTGTGTATCTGTACCTTATTGTTTTACCTTATTTGCATTTATTATTTTTATACTTTTTTAATAATACTATGAAAAAACGTTCTCATTCCATTTGATAAAATATTGTTATATAGGTAATTTTTGTACTAGACAGTTTCTCACTCAATATTTTATTTAGTACCTAATACAAAATGTTGTGTATAAAAAGTATATGTACTTTGTTAGTGTTTTACTAACAAGTTAATGGTATACTGGTATTCTCCTTATGCAAAGCTCATAATGATTAAACGAACACTAAAGTATCAGGTATACAAACATGTATTCCTAACGCTATCATGTTCTAGTAGATTGTTGCCCTTCCTCCCATCAATTAAGGTTAGTAAAGCTATTTACTTTCCTTGACTCCATTGCCACATCATTGTTAGTCTTGATGATCTCAGCCAACCCAATGTCTCCACATAGGGAAACTTTGAAAAACTAGTTTGCTTGGGCTGCAAAACACCATGCTGCACCAATCAAATGTTCTCATTGAGTAGCATTTGATTGAATAAGAAAGGCTGACTTGATTATTCAGCAGAAGATCCCCTAGTGGCTGTGTTTCTGTGTGTTAACCCTGCAATCCTAACATTGCCGTATCTACTAATCAACATTGTGGGGTTAAAACTAAAGGGCATCTGCACCAAGACCACTTTATTGAGATTAAGGGGTCTTGATTCCTTTAGTGGTTGTTTGACATCTAATGATTGTAGGCAAACTCACTTAATGGCAAGCAATATTAGCCATTCCAGCACAAGATCATATCTGAATTTTTATTCACTTTGTAATCCATCAATAGGAAACTGATGTAATTATGTTATTGGACTTCAACTTCCATAATTATCTGACGACTATAGCCAAGCGTAAACATATGGGAGTTGTAGTATGCAGTTCAATGTATCACAGTCTTGTGACCATAGTCAGATTAGTACACCACTCTCTATTTTTGGTCTTGTTTGCTCTACAGTGATTTCAACCGCTTTCCAGAGTGTAATGCTGCAGAGATTATCAGTGTCACCGACAGTTGTTTTGGTACTACTGGTGTCAAATCAGTGTTATACATGTTGCCTAGAAATGTGCAATTCGTTTCGGTCCGAATTCCAATTCGGACGAATTTCAGGCAATAGATGAATTGTCGAATTGCCGAATTGCCGAATGGTTAAAGTCCCGAAATTCCCGAATTTCCAAAGTGTCGAATTGCTGAAGTTCCAAAGTTGCCGAAGTGACGAAGCACAGTATTGCCTAAGAACTAATATACTAACCCAGTGGAAGAATGAAGAATGTTACACTGTATACAATTTTAAATAAAAAGTATACAAACATAGCCAGGATTCAGCTGTAAGCATTTTCAAGACAAATAAATAGAAGTACAGCCTAGGTACACTCTAGACAGGGGGGTAACCCCTAGTAGAAATAGATATAAAGGGAAGATAAGAAGAGTGCCTATCAAAATGAAAGGAAAAACTATCACTAAGTACAAACTGTACAAATAAAGTACATATTTGAAAAAATAAATAAAATAAAGATAACAAATAACTTTATTGAATATACATACTAAAAAATCAAAAAGTAAAGAATGGAACACTAGTGAACTGATAAAATCAATCTGAACAATATAGGGATTTATTTATTTATTTAAATAAAAAGTATACAAACATAGCCAGGATTCAGCTGTAAACATTTGCAACACTTACAACAATCAAGTAACATACATTCATATAAAATGTAAGTTACTTAGCCAGTCAGTGTAATGACAGGAATGAATAAGTAGATAATTCTCCAATTCCCGGGGTATTAGGGAGCTATCTACTAAAAGGCTGAAAGATCTAAATTGGTCTTTCAGCCAAATTTACTAATAGTAAGTAAAGATTACTTAGTATTAGTAAATTATGCCCCTACTCGCTATACTGTGAGTAGGGGCATGTCTATTAAATGGTGAGCCTATGGCTGCTCACTTAAAAAAAAATTATAAAAGGTCCCCCCCTCCTGAGCCCCCATCTGTGCTGCACGAGTGGGGGCTTCTAACCTGAAGGGGGACCTATTGTTCCCCCTGGCCCCCACCCCTGAATGGTGGGTGGGGGCCCTACAGTAAAATAAGGGGGGTCTTAATGTCCTCCCCCCTGGCTCCCACCCCTGAGCGGTGGGTGGGGGCCCTAAATACTAATAAGGGGGGGAACTAATGTCCTCCCCCCTGACCCCCACCCCTGAGCGGTGGGTGGGGGCCCTAGAGTAAAATAGGGGGGGACCTAATGTCCTCCCCTTTGCCCCCACCCCTGAGTGGTGGGTGGAGGCCCTAAATACTAATAAGGGGGGGACCTAATGTCCTCCTCCCTGACCCCCACCCCTGAGTGGTGGGTGGGGGCCCTACAGTAAAATAAGGGGGACCTAATGTCCTCCCCCCTTGCCCTCACCCAAAGCGGTGGGTGGGGGCCCTAAATACTAATGGGGGGGACCCTAAATTGGAATAAGGGGGGGAGACCTAATGTCCTCCCTCCTGAGCCCCACCCCTGAGTGGCGGGTGGGGGCTCGGGAGTGGGGACCCTAGTCACTGTTTAATAGACATGCCCCTACTCGCGGTATAGCGAGTAGGGGCAAAATTTACTAAAAGTAAGTAATTTTTACTTAGTATTAGTAAATTTGGCTGAAAGACTAATTTAGGTCTTTCAGCCTTTTGGTAGATAACTCCCTAATACCGTGGGAATTAGGGAGTTATCTACTAAGCGGCTGCAAGAGAAGGGCCGAAGTCCCGAAATTCCGAAATGCTGAAGTTCCGAAATTCCAAAGTTCCGAAGTGCCGAAGTTGCTGAAATGCCGAAGTGCTGAAGTGACGAAGTTCCGAAGTTGCCGAAGTTCTGAAGTGTTGAAGTGCCAAATTGCCGAAGTCCCGAATTTGGGAATGCCGAACCGAACCGAAAATTTTCCTCATGCACATGCCTAATGTTGCCCTTTTCTGCACTGAAGAGGGAAAGCTTAATCTACGGAGGATATTTGGAGGTTTTTAGCAACACTCTACTTGGCAATTAAAGTGTAAACTCATCTGCCATGTTAAGGCAAACCTCTTAGGTGAGTCCTACACTAACAATTCACCTTGGTTCTTTGAGCTAAAAGGCAAAATCTCTAATGAGACAGAGAGGGGTATTTTTCTAAAGCCCTACACATTTGATAACCCTTTTTTTTAATTATTATTATTATTATTGCAATTTATATTGCGCCAACAGATTCTGTAGCACTTTACAATATTATTAGAGGGGGGATTTAACTATAAATAGGACAATCACAAGAAAACTTACAGGAATGATAGGTTGAAGAGGACCCTGCTCACACGAGCTCACAATCTATAGAAGGTGGGGTATGAAACACAATAGGATGGGAAATAGAAAATGACGCAAGCAGAAAAAAATTCAAACCGAAAAAAAAAAAAAGAAGTACAGCAAGTCCTTAATAGGGAACACATGGGCTGGGCGGCAGCATTGTAACATGATTGTGTAATACAAAAGCAAATACAAACACACAAAATCAAGTCCTGCACTCAAAATTCCATTACTCCTGGGCAGCAACAATCAGTATAGTATCCATCAGCTCACCTAAGAGGTTTGCCTTGACATAGCAGGTGAGCTTACATGTTAATCGCCAGCTATTTAAATGTGCATGGGTAACTTTTATTTAGTTTTTTTATTGTATGTATTAAATACTATAGTCCTTGCTGCCGCCCAAGAGTAGTGGGAGTTTGAGCACAGGGCTAGATTCTGCATGGAGGATATTTATCATCTGTGATCTGTACAATATGGTAAAAGTACTAAAAGTGGGTCAATCACCATGGAAACCAGTAGACCCAGCAGGCACATTCAATTGGTGACCACATCCTTTACAGGTTTTGCACCAATGCTTAGACCAGAAAATTTAAAATAAAATTCCCAATGTTTCTGTTCTGCTTCTCATTTCCACTGTGCTCTTCACTGTGCTTGAACTAATCTTGATTGTAACGTCACATGTCAAATCTTTAATATACTTACTAAAATAAAACAAATGAAAAATGGTTAACACAGGTTGTAGGCATATTTAAAGTTTTAACCCATGGTGTAATTTCTAGAAAAGTGACAGTTCATCTTTAAAAACAAATCTCTTAAACCATTTTCATTCAACTTGTGTTCACAAGTGGAATGCATGTTAACATATTGTATTCCGATTAAAATATACTTAGTTGCTTGTTGTACTGTTTTTTTTTCTGTTTGTATTTTATTTTGCTTACATCATTTGCTGTGCAATTTATAATGCATTTTAAACATTGTTACATTTCTTTATTCCACTATTAACCAACTTAATTCAAAAATACTTCAATAAAATGAAATTTAAAATGATGCTTTTACAGTGTGGTATTTTCTATTCAGTTCTTACTGCACCGTGATTTTAATTGGCATGTGTTTAAGATTTTGGATTGCTTGTCATTTATTTAGTTTTTTACAATAAAGTATAAGGTATGCGCTCTCCATATGGAGTAATATGGACGAGCAGAGAATACGGAGTAGCTTTTAAGAACATATGTTTCTATTTTTAAATAACCACTAAAGTCACTTAGGTCACATCATCTCAGTGAAGTGGCCAGGGTGGAGTGTTCCTGTACTTTAACCCCTTAAGGACACATGACATTTTTTTTTGGGGGGGGGGGGTTAATATAAGACCCAGTCTTATTTTCGGGGAAAGAAGATATATATATATATATATATATATATATATATATATATATATATATATATATATATATATATATATATATAGATTTTTTTCAAATGATTTTACTTTGGGCTTCAAGTATCTTATTGTGAGTAGTAGGATAACTAAATTTTACTTTTGTGGCATTATATTGTTCAGATTTTACATATATTTAAACATTTACTAAAATCATTAAAACATTTTATGTGTATATGAAATTATGTAACAGACTCAGAGATACTCGGCATCAAAGCTGTTTAATTACATATAGCAGTTAAAATTACATGGTCATAATTTTAAACGAGCATGGCAGTTAGAAGACTTTTTGCTAGGACATTGCTGCTTGTCAGTTACATGAGATA